TGAAGTTCTGTAACTTTGCATGGTGCTCAAAAATTCATAAATGGTCAATGCTATAATCCTAACTTAAAAAAGCAAATTAAAAACATTAGGCTGTAACAATAAGCTTTAAAAAAATTATTCAGTGTTTGATGAGTTATACCCCCCACTGTGAACATGGATTCCATTTTGATCTAATTTTTCAGTTGACATTTTACATTATGCTCTTGATATATAATAATTCATGCTTTTTGTACTTATTTATTATCTATTCACAAGAAATCTTTTAAAACGATCATTCTTTAATAAAATAGACCCCTGCTTAAATCTCAAATAAATGATAAACGGTAATGTTGTGTGATCCTCAACAAGCAATACCATATTCAGTGATATTAAATCTATCAATATAATCTATAAAAATGATTGGAACTTGAACAGGAGGTAATTTTCAAATATTTGTCAATTCCTTTATCACTATATCTCCCTGTGTATCTGTCATTCATTTTCGTCATCCGTTCATAGTGTTATTGTATTGGGGCTGCTACAATCTATTATATTCATGTATAGTTAAGATTTATATATAATATATACATTTATATATATTTGACGGAATGTATCGCCACAGATTTCGGACAGTAATATGTTGGATTTTGGCTATTTTCTGAGGATTTTAACAGATGCATATGTTAGGCCATTGCAATACCTCTAGGAATGACAGTATGTCAAAAGAAGGAGTAGAGAAAATGTTCTCGTTTTTATACATTTTATGAAAAAAAGTATTCTTTACACTCTTTTACAGGTACATTAATGCACTCTTCGTGCAAAACTGAAAGATGTAGACAATGCGGGGAAGGAGTGATTGATATTTCAAAAATAACATGTGCATTACAATTCTGAACATGCTGGACAACCTCAAGGTCAGATTGCATTTTCTATTATTCTGATGACCATGTGCTTTTTTCAGTTGAACGCAACTCATTCCAAACACGGTCTAAATCTTTCGTATTTGCACAAAGGTTGCTTTAGTGTTACCAGATAAAGGTCAGGGTGCATGTTCGGAATTTTTCTGCAACTTCAAATATGAATCACTCCTTCCCCACAATGTCTACATCTCTCACTTTTGCACAACAAGTGCACTAATGTACCTAGAAAAGAATATAGAGAAGAATGTTTTGATAAATGTATAAAAACAAAAAAATCAGTGAAAAAATTCAGAAAGTTTTCAGTATCTTTTTCACTGAATTTTCACTTTTTTATACATTTTACAAAACAAATCTTCATACCAGTCTTTTTTAGGCACATGACACAGTTTTGCACAAAGAGTGCACTTATGTGCCTAGAAAAGACTAGCGAGAAGAATGTTTTGATAAAGTGTATAAAAACAAGAAAATTCAGTGAAAAAATTCAGAAAATTTTCAGAAATTTCTTTCACTGGATTTTTTCGTTTTTCATACATTTTACAAAACAAATCTTCTCACAGGTTTTTTTCTAGGCACATAAGTGCACTCTTTGTGCAAACCTGGAAGATATAGACAATGTGGGGAAGGAGTAATTCTTGTTTGAGAAATAGTATGTGACTCAACTGAGGAATGCAGAAAAATTCCTAACATGCACCTTAAGGTGCTAAGGAAGTTAACAGGAAATGACAAAACAAAAAATGTCAAAACCATGCTGGATTTTGAAAATCTTTTGAACCAAGATAACAGAGTTCTCTTTGGACCTCCAGTCAGTTTAACTAGTTCCACATATCATTTACATGACTGGGAACACAATGAAAATGGTCAGAATGACCATAAACATGATGAAATAACCTTTTCAGCCCTCTGAAAATGTGACTGAAAAATAGCTAAGAGTAGGTGTTCAGGAAAGGTCACTGAACAGAATCTTTTGACTTTTTCAGAAAATGTGTCCAATATATTGCTCTTGTGTGTATTTCCTTGGTTTTTTCAGGAAAGTTTCATTACACTGTCTTCTTTTAGAATATCTGGAAACAGGTCAATGTTAGCTCCCGTGTTGTCTGGAAACTTTGAAAGAAAATTTGGAAAAATAGAAAATGTGAAATATCAGAATTTCCTGGAGTTCTTATTGAACGCCTACCAGATATTCTAAAAGAAGACAATGTAATGATACTTTCCTAAAAAAGCAAGGAAATTGACACATGCCTTCATACTTTATTTTGTACCAGAAAATAACATGTGCAGGTATAGTTCAACGTCGTTAAACTCAATAACGGCGTTCTTTATTATTAGGAATTTTCTTGGGGCCATTATTGAGTTTAACCTCCATGCTATTCTTTCCTTTGATGCAAGTTGTGGATCTATCGAAACCACTTTTCCTCGCTAATATGACACTGATACTTAACAAAAATATAAAACCACGTTTCATCAGGCGATTTCACATAATATTATTGTGTTAAATGTTCATTTTTAATCGTAAAATGAGTCTTATTCTTACCAATTTATGAGACGAATATTTCAACCGGCAATGTCTGTCTGTGCGTCGCCAAAGTAAACTTGGTCAGCGAAACGAAATTGTTCTTCAATATTGATATTTATTATAACCATCCAGTATGACCCGAATCTTTGCTTTATTCAAACAGCGCGTGTATTCACCCAAGTTTACTCTATTGTTATTTATAAAAACTTTAAAAAGCAATACTCGCAACATTATTGATGCATTTGATTACTGGTAATTTCAGCTCAAAGAAATATAGATGTCATTGATTGTGCTAGATTGTGATTGTGTTGAATAATTGTGCCTAAATATTAAATTATGGTAATTGTTCATGGTTTTCTGCTTGCAAAAACGTACCTAGGAATACACTCAATTGTTTATAACTGGGATCATGTATTTTACTCAGCATACATGCTTTGTAACAATTGTTACATTTTAATAACTTCAATGTGGTGATGTATTGTGATAAGATTACATGTACAGTGATCTCCCCATGTCACTTTTACCGGGGGCTCCCCCTACTTGAAACCAAAGGCCCCCCAGTTGGCACCCAGTTGGCATCTGCACTTCAACTTCTGATTTAAAGAATGAGTGAAGTAAGCACCTACACTGAGATATTGTGAGCGTAGCGAGTGCTGATTTTTTTAGACTTGAAATCTTGCACCCAGTTGAACATTTTTTTGGGGAGAACACTGATGTATAAGCATGGTTGTTTTATTCCTAGCTCTTAAATGTATGATGTTCTTAATAAAATTAAACAGAAGTTTTGTTTATGCTATTTTATAAAACATATTTTTCTACAATGATATTTCATTTACTCAATGAGAGAAAAGTTAAACACATGTGTTTTATCACGATATTGGAGCAAGTAAATGTACTTTTAACCTATACTTCACACCTGATTTATCTCGATACCTCCAAATCTGATTTTTTCAAATCAACACTTTTCAGCTTTTTTCGATCTCATTACTCTAATGTTAAAAAACCTTACTTGATCGTCATTAAAGCAGATATGAAATGGTATTTTTAACCTAAAGGAATCAATGTGATTTTTTGATAAATGTATTTTGACATGTTTTCTCATCAGTAGTGTGAAAATTATTTCACTCTAACGATCGTTATAGCTGCTTAATAAGCAATTTTCGAATTGGTTGTGACGTTATTGGCCCCCACGTGATCTCTCACTGGCCCCCATGTGGCCCGTTTTGGTCCATTAGATCATGACGTCATAATGCCAAAATGTTTTGTTTTGTTTACACAACAATCCTATGGTTGCCGTGACGTTGTGATTACTAAGGAACCAATAAACCAAAGCTATATTTTGTATATGACGTTACTAATCACGTGGGGGCCAATTTGATTGATCAGTTAGTTTTATTTCGTTATCTATGACCGTTAGCAGTTATCTAACATGTATTTTATAATGGCTATCGCAAGAACTCTACATTGGGCTTACAATGGAGAAAACCGCATTTTTGTAGCTGCAAGTTGAGAAAAGCTATTTCAGTTGTCCTTTAAACATTCAGTCAAAATGATGTCATACTATCTAGTATTTGAAATGTACATGTAAAAGTACATCAAGAAATATTGCTTCAAATATTGTTGATCAATTTTGAAAAATTTTTGTTTTGGAAAATGTAAATGCTACTACGGGGAGATTCAACATATAAAGTCACAAAAAGTGAAATATGTTTTCTTATGATTGGACAGATAATATTTTCTTTTACATTATTTTAATTTGCATTACTATGTCATGCTATGTGACCTGAATGAGCCACCTGGTGGTGAAACTGGTAACTACCTACTCGCATCTGAGTTATTACAATGGGAAATCACTGACTTTCTGGGAGAGAAAACTTTGGCACAATATATATTTAAACATGTTAAGAAAAATATCTAATTATTCAGTATCACATGCTTGCGTCTGTCCAAAGATGTTGAAAGCTTTAGCATTTTAGCCAGAAATTTACCATAATTCTGAAAATAAAACAGGAAAAAAAGTAGGAAACTTAATCATGTTTATCGCAAGCCTCCTACAGTATTACAATATTTTGTACTTACATGTATATATAGGATAACCGGGGTTCGTTTCGTTTTATGAACTTGTTTCGTTCAGTGTTGCTAACGGCGGTTTATTCCTGAAAGGATTTGCCATTTCGATGTTACCGGAACCAGAACAGAGTTTTCTAAACTAAGAAAAAGCCTTCTCCCAACATTTTCATAATTATACCGTTACAGGGGGGTATGTGATGATTTGTATTTATTCATAAGGTATGTGTGCATGCGTTGATCACATTATTTCTGTAACGATACCATCTTATTACGGTTTAATTAGTTCCGCATGTCGAAACCTGCTGAACGATTAAATGATCGCATCAAGGGCAAAATCATCATGGAAGTTAGACCTAGCCGGGGCCATAAGACATGTCAGATAAGAAACGAGGCCCAGGCTAGGTCTAATGTTGTTGGACTAGTGCAGGTATAGCAATTTTTTATCAAAATGTTACTTTCAAGCTGAACCTTAATTCATCTAATTTAGATGAATTTTAATTAGTAAATAAAATACATACTTTCAGCAATGGATCCAATAACTAACAGGGCAAAGACGGCGAGTTTCCATGTAGAGCCTTCCATCTTAGAGTGATTACCAAAACACATTTGTCAAAATCTAAGCCAGCTCGCAAATATGTAGGTTTGTTGCGCAATTAGTGTGTACTGAGGCATAAGTAAGCACATGTACTTATGTGCGCTCATGCAGACAGTTAAGGTAGTTATACATACAACCAGCTGCCTAAAAATAGGCCATGTAATTGAGCTCTAAAAGGGACCAAACATCTCAAAAATTGAAACAATTGTTAGATTTGGGTCACATTCTGTGTGATATCAGTAGAATTACATGTAGGAAAATGTATACAGTGGACAAATATGAAATTTTACATACAGTGCTGATATATAATAATATAGGGTGCGTTTTCAAACTAAAAAGAGTGTTCCTACCAAAATGAATTTGCCTACATACCCCTGAAACTCTTATCTGATAGATAGAATGCACAAATAAAACAAAAGTTTTGCAATTATAGGTAAAAAGTTCTCTTGAAATTTCGAAGTGATTTTACCTGTTAATTCTGTCCATGGTCGGCCATTTTTGCGGAAGTTACACTGAAACGCAAACTCCATGAAACGAAACGAAATCACTAGAAAAAACATGGCACTTATCCCGTTCCCGGACTATAGTCCTGCACTGAGCGCATTCATTTGCCTGTACGATTTCAACTTGGGAGAATTATCTACGCCCCTTACACTTAAGATACCTACCTCAATGCATTATAGAACTCAAGATGTAACTTCTAATATATTGGAACCGCCGATTGTCTGGGTATATCGGCAGAACGGGAACATTTTCTCTTTTTCATCGAGAGAGATTCCATCACTTTTCAAAATGGCGGTTGGATTTAAAAGGGGAATCCCCCGTTTGGCTGTCCCGGATGAAGCCCGGAAGTACCAATATGGAGGAATTTGACGGTTGAAATAAGTTAAATGTTACACGCAAATATTGCGATCAAAAACGAAAATGTCTTCGTTCTGCCGATAAACCCAGACAATTGTGGATTCAACTACACGAAAAGAATGCTAAATTACCAAGGAATCTAGTGAAGTAGGTATCTGAAGTGTAAGATGAGTAAAAAATTCTCCCATGTTGTAATCGCACAGGCAAAAGATTGAGATGTTCACAGGACCATAGTCCGGGAACGGGATAACATGGCACACATTGTGCGCATGTGCAGCAAAGTTTAGACCAATTAGATTATTTGATTATTTTGCGCACGTGAATTATTTGCTTCCGAGCACTTACAAGCTTACCACAATAAACAAACCTGGCAGAGACTACCCTTAGCCTACTTCATTTTGGCGAAATTTCAGCTCAAACTCGTGAAAAATGCATTATGCATACGCTGGTGTGAAGCCTTGGAGACACTCATTTTGGTAAATATGATTTATGGGGTATACTTTTCTGCAGTTTGTGGGAGTTTGGGACATTAAATGTTAAAATTCAAGAAAATATGCCAATTAAACGACTGATCAATTAATATATACCAGCACTGTACTAGCTACTCCCTCGACCCCAAACCAAAAGTTATTAATCTGTAACCGAATTTGAAAAGTTATGTTAGTTTGATATCTCATACACATAGAGTAGTGATTAATAGACGACATACATAATTCGATGGTACTTCATACACAGTTCAGTTAAATATTATTGTCAAATATTTATAGCTAAAGAAAACAGAGTACCCCATAAACTACATTAAAAGTTCCACTACTGAATTTCGAGTTTGAATGACCTGAAGGTGAACTTATTGTAATATTACTGAATGTACTCGATGTCCATGAGTTTCTTTACAATTACAATACAGTCTCTGTTTGTGAAAGTTAACTTTATTGAGACCCTGTATACCTACCTTAAGTAGCCTTTGTCAGAACAACTAATGCCTTGGTCACATTTGCTCCGATTTTCACTACGGCGCCCTGCCGATTGAGTATTTTGTTCAAAATTGAATACATTTCTAAACAAAATACTCAATCGGCCGTGCGCCGTAGTGAAAATCGGAGCAAATGTGACCAAGGCATTAATTATTCAACACTGGTTTTGAATTAACTCATACTTGAACGCTCACTTGTGATCCACTTGATTACGTTGGTTACCGAAACGAACCGTAATGAACCGTTTCGGTAACAAAATGTCGGAGCCACGAAGTACGATTTTTCTTTTTCCTTATTCCACGCGTTGTAGGGAGAATTCCCATGGCATTTCCAATAACAAACGTGTGATAGTATCATAGGTCTAAGAAAATGAACATGTTTGCTAAAAAATAGTTCAGCAGACCACAGAATCGTCAACGTTATACTTCACTTAGGTTACGTAAACGGAACTACAAAAGAACGGTTTAGATCTGAACTTTTTACCCTATTCCGTTTACGTAACTTAAGCGAGGTATTAAATCAACGATTCTGTTGTCTTCTGAACTATTTGTTCGTGAACATGTAATTTTTCTTGAACATATCATACTGACACTCGTTTGTGATTAAAAAATCGGCTCACAGCGTTACCAAAACGGTTTAACCGGCATAATCGAGCGATGCACCAGTGAACACTGTCAAGAGTATAATATGCTTTATTTCAATTCCTTAGTTGGATAGTTCATTAACACCCCAGTTATATTTGTCGTACGTCTGCACGTCGACCGCAGATCAATTAAATCATATAATAATGATGTAGTCAACATTTGCTACGATTGTCAGTACCGGGTGTAACAAATTTAAGTGTCCCACAGTGGTCAGTGTCCGTGGGACTGCCAACCCTAGGGATCGGGGTCCTACAGACCCCGATCCCTAGGGTTGGCTGTCAGTTGGAGGACATTAAAAACCAGGTTTTATTTCCTATATTTACAAGGATAAAATGGGGAGACAGTTATAACTTGGGAGACTCTCAGATCTGTCACACCAGTAACAGATTGTAATGTCCCCCGTTGATAGGATTTAATACTTGTAGTCACTAGGATAAAACTTATAGTGTAGTCGAAATCTGATATCGGCATCATCCCCACTGTGGCATAATGGTATAAGCGTTGGCATAATGTGTATTTATTAATTGTGATTTGTATTTATTAGGTTCCAGGTTCGAATCCTGCTTTGGTATATCATGTGTAAATATATTTTATGTCATGTGATACTATGACGTTACCCAATTAGAAAGAACAACATGTAACAATGCGGTTGGTGGCTCAATTTGCTTGTATTAATTTTTCAAACCGTCTACACCGTTATATTGTCTCAATAGATTGTAGTATTCTATATTGTTGCCTATTATCATCGGTGCCAATTTTTTCATTTTCAAAGGATACCACCTTATTAGTTTTTATACATATTATTTATTTATTTTTTTATTTATTCCTCCTAACCACTTTTCTCCAACTTCTAGCTAGGTCTGAGATAACTCTTATATGCTTCTACTAAGGACCTGAACTGCACTTGGCAGGAAAGAGTTCCATACAAATTGCTTACTATATGTTTGCGTTAAATTTTTACCGTTTTTGAGATAATTGACGTCCAAAAAAAATTGGTTATATTGCTTCAAATTGCCCAATTTATTTTTAAAAATCATCTACAAGTCCCCGGGAACTCAAATCTGACCTTTCTTTTGACCTTCTGGCTTCAAATTTAGGTTTATTTAATCACAAAAAGACCCACTGATGTCTAAGAAATGCCAAAGGATAAGTATCGATATGGTGAACTGAATTCCTGAATTAAACAATTTATAGAAAACATTCTGTTAAAACACGGTCCTTTATGTAATGTTGACTGATTGGCAACAAGTAAATGCAAAATTATGTATATGTATTTTATATAACTGTTTTTGTTAACATTTTTGTTTTTTTGATGTTATCGTTTTTGTTCCTTTTTACCAATTCTTGAGAATGAAATATAATGTCTTTCCGAACCTTGTTGGAACAAAATAGCATAAACAACATTTTCTTAGACCTCTCAATATCATAGTTATACAAAGAAAATTTTGGTTAATTTAACAAAAAGTATCCAAAAACTTAAAACAAAACCCTCAAAATATATAAAGATTAAAATAAACCTTTCATTTCATTAACAAGATACTTATTTAAAATCAATCAAACTTTCCTTTGTACAATTGCAAAATTGAGAGACCTAAACACGTTGTGTTTATGTCGTTTTGTTCCCATGAGGTTCGGATATATATTTCATTTCATTCCGAACATATGATACCAAGACCGAAAGAAGTGTCTGATGTGTTTTCTAAAACAATATAGAGAAAAGTCTATATATATAATTCAAATTATAATGTTATTATCCAAAAGATGACCATTAAATTGACGAGTGTAAAATTTTCAGAATGTTTTGATGACTGGTTTAAGAGACACGCGTGTCAAGAAGTTCATCATATCGATATCACTCCTTTGCAAGGTCAAATGTCAAGGTCATCAAACTAAATCACAAACTGTGTTTTCTTAGTTTCTCAAAGTTGACGATTACAAATCAATATTTTTTTGATGAAAGTCAGAATATATATTTAACTAAAGGTTCTACACATATAAGCAATTGACTAATAGCCATTAAAATTGTGCGCCAGTTTTGAGATATTAGACCTCAAAAACTGAAAAAAGGTCAAACTTCGAAGCTTTTCAAGACTAAATTTCAATTTGCTTCAAATTGACCAAACATTTTTTAAGATCATCAAAACTATTCGAACGATCCTTATATTTAGGAGTATATATGCGATGAAATGTTCATTAGTAGTAGAGGACAGTGATGCAGAGTCATTAAGGTTAATGTAGGCTCACTTGATGTCTATGCAAATATAAAAGCAACAATATATTTACGTTTTGTGAATTTTGTTATACTTGGTCTATATTTAACGTATCAGAGTAGTGCTCGATGATTTATTAATGATAAAACGCATTATTAGTTGATACATAAATAAAGGGGGGGGGGGGGGCACTAAAAACTAGATTTCGAATGATGCTGGTTTCTAGTGTCCCAAGGAGACATTAAAATTTTCAAGGGGGACACTTAAAACTTGGACGGACAAGCATCCCCAGGGTTAATTGTCCAAGGACACTGGACACTGGGGACACTTATATCTGTTACATCGGCTTGAATTCGAATCATAAAAGCACAGAAAAAGACAATTCACTTAAAACGTGCTCATTTACTTAAATCAAGCTTAATAAGCCTCACTTTGGATTTTGTGAAGAAACCCAGACAACTGCCCTTTCTAAAAAGTTTGTTACGTAACATTAAACATGAAACTGGGCCTTAAACCTTCACATTAAACTCTTATTATGAACAAAATATATATGTTGACATTAATCCTGTAAATAATATTACAAGAAAAATACAAGAGAAGGTTATTAACCTAATGTAACAATACTTATATATATATATATATACAGGGTGTCAAATAAGTCCTGTCCCCCCTCTACAGCCAAAACCAAGATATTCGGTACCAAGTGTGATATATCATTGGAAAGGTCTTCCAAAGTTACGTTGATTAGCATATATCCGACACATGTCAATCAATCTCACAAAGTTTTACATTGTATCAATTTGGCGTATTTGGCAGGATTTTAATAATCGGGTATAAGAAAGGTCAAAGGACCAAAAGATGACTAAATATGTACATGGCAATGAATTTAACCAGTTTCTGGATAGAGTTAGATGTGTAGAAAAAAGAGGTGCATGGAAAGTGGTGAAAACCTTTTTGTAACAAGTGGAAAGTGAAAAAGATTAAATTTTTGACATATTTCTGGGGCCATATCCTTGTCATTTTGACGCAAAAAGCTGCTTAAAGGAGGGTATGTTAACTATAAAGGACATCATAATAATATAGGTGAATTTCATCCAAAATACTTGAGAGTTGGTGAGTTAACATAACTTTTGATGATCTTTCCAATGGTATATCAGGCATAGTACCGTCTATTAAGGTTTTAGCTGTAGCAGGGGGACGGGACTTATTTGACACCCTGTAGGTATTGTTAGAGTATAGCCAAAGTTGTAATACAGACTACCCTTTTACAGAATTTAAATTATTTTATAACTCTTGAAATATTGAGTAAATAAAAACCCAATTGATAAAGTGAAGAGCAAAAAGTTAAACAAAGTGACAATCCTTCAAGGCAATTCTATTACCATGCTCAAAGTAATCTGAAGGATCGTCACATATCCACGTAAAGCCTTTAATCTTAGAGTGACTGCCAAAAGGCGTTTGACGAGACAAATCTAAATCGCCAATATGTAGGGTTTTGAACCCGATGTTAAGTGTGCACAGAGGCGTGAATAAACAGTCAAACGTTCACTCATCAGCTAGTTAAGACAGTTGGCCCAAATGCCCTAATACGTCACTTCCGCTGAATAGAAAAAAGTAGTATTCAAAAATAAATGTAGTCCCAACACAATTGTGATCATGACGAGTCAGTAAGCTAGTATGTAGGCACAGTTGTCATCTTTTTGCAATGACAACATGCCATTTCTTCTGAAAATGCGTTTATTTGGGTTATCTGAAGGAAAATTTCGAGTCAAGTGGCGCATTAATTTTGCCTTGATTTTTGTGAATTTCAATTTGTGTCGGCAGAGAGAGGGGGTAGTGTCACAATCGACCAATTATTTCAAAAAGTAGATGATTGGCCCCTATTGAGTTTTTTGTCAAGATGTAGCTTAGACATAGCTTTAGAACCTCAGATAGGCCAGTGAGGCCACATAAATCCATAACTCGAGATAAAAAGTCAGGCGTTTGCCCTTTTGCCCATTGACTAGTATGGTGACGTGAATTAGGGCAGTTTGGCCAGTTGTACAACCGGATACCAAAATATTGGTAGACTGTAAATCTAGTAAATCTAGTAAAATCTTGTAAAGTTTTTAGGGACCATTTTATATCAATGTCAGTCTCTATGAAGAGTATTGGTGATTATGATTCCTTTTACAGCATTATTATCCCAACGAACGGGAAGCTAACTCGAATACTACGAAGCCGATTCTCTCTATATTTGGTGGAAAGATGTGTAATGGTAATACTTTTTAAGGACTTTTCATTAAGAAGGCATCCGTTTTAAAAATGGCGGGAATTTTTCGTGGAAATCTAAGTTCTACATTCTCAACCAAAGTAGTAAACATTACTGTTAGCTATTTCAGCAGTATTCTCACAACATACATGTATACCTATTGATATTATTGAGCCTGACTGCCATGAGCCATGAATGGGGAGGGGGTAGGCATTCTTTTTAATTTTCAGATCATTCTAAAGCATACTCAAATAAAAGGGAATTTAAAGTAGATAACAAATATTGTAAAAACTTCTGAATCGACTCTTGAAAAATTCTTGGAAAAGTGGCCGCCAAGTGTGTTATTTAGCAATAATTTTATGACCAAGGAATTTTATACCTGGCAAACTCATTTCCACAAAACATGATTGTAAATACCATATTCGTCCGATAAAGCGCACATAGTTCTAATAAGTGCACATTCATACTGGTATACATGTGCATACAGTTTAAGGGGCTGATATGATATGGCTTTAAACTATTAATTACAAGGAATATAAGGAACATATCATCATCAAAACGTAAATGGAAAGCATTGTAGAAATGCCACACTATACTTTATGTATAGGTAAAGCAAATAGATCAATCAGTAAGTTGTCTCACTATTCCCCTTACTACATCATTTGATTGTTTTTACTATATTTGGGGGTTGGCAAAAATCAATTTTGAAATTGCCATTTATCCATTCCCCTAACGTTGGGATTTCTACAAATATTGTCTATTGAACAGCATCGCCAAAAAATAAGCAATAACTAAATTATCTGATAGGCTAAGCATTATAACATTTTGTGAGGGAAAAACAAGTCTGTGTCATTTAGATGGTATGCATTGTCCCCTCAGTCCTTAAATATGTGGCTTAATTTGTTAATAGAGCATGCTTCTTGGGTGGGTTGTGTATGATGATAAAATGGGTGTACCATTTGATAACCATTTTGTTATCCAGTACTAACATATAATTGTGGTGTAACTAAATATAATGAACTAAAAGGTAGAATTTTTTCTACATGTTCATTTCATTCATACAAATGCATTCTCAGTGCTTTTTCGACATTTGCACTTTATATCTTAGACATTGAATAATCAAGTTTTTACAAGATTTTACAAGATTTTACTAGATTTACTAGATTTACTAGATTTACTAGTTTTACTAGATTTACTAGATTTACTAGATTAACAGTCTACCAAAAATATTGGCCAAATAATCGAAACGCATCAGGGCTGACATGTACATGTACACCACATGCAGACAGATCGCCTAAAATTACATTCGTATGATGAAAGACTCGACATTTGTCAGAAAGCTAGAAACATTTTGTCTCCAATGTAGCAAATAATAACAGTTAATAACAGTCAAATTAAGTTCTGCAAGCATATAGCATGACGTTCTGATATTTCAAGCTAGCTCGTTTGAAAAATGATGGCGCAGATTGAAGTTACGTTGTAAAGATAAAGCCACAAGGAAATATTTGTAGATTAGAAAAATACATATCATATCAAACTTTTCAAACCAGAAAAAAAATATACACATAGTAAGGCCTGCAGGTTCGATTCTGTCTGGTAGCATTAACATTGGCCTCGTTTATGTCATACAATTAATATTTGAAATACAACTATGATTCGACCTTATTATCGGACAAAAAGTATGATTAATAAAGTAACATCATAGAGATTACTATGATTAGATCTTCACAGCACTTTAGTACTTTGATACACACTGGCAATATATTTCAAAAACAGATCCATACTATCATGGGGTTGGATAGTCTAATTTTTAGTAGAATCCAGAGCAGGACATTTTACTTAAAATAACGATTATTTGGCACAATTATCTTTTTAAACCTAAAGGGTTAACGTTACGATAACACTCTATCCTACCACGTGACTACATTACAGACGACGGGTACAGACGACAGTGAAGTTGCAAATGGAGGACGTGAGTTTTTCCATATCTCTGAAGGTTAACTAGATTTTACATGTCTTCCTAATGTTCTATTATCCATAGTACAGATTCATAGAGCAGTTTGCAACCCCCAATAGGCAAAGATAGAGAAACTTGGCAAAGTAAAGTAACGATTGGAGCCAATACATGATACTTTTTAGTAATTTCATAAATGTACAGGGCACTGGTCAGTTTCACTTGGACTTAGTAACTTCTTTTAACATTGATATGCAACAAAATCCCTATTCGATTGTTATTTAGATCACGTGTCATCGTGTTATATACATCTACGTTTTATATCATTTTATTCAATAGATAGGGAATACAATTTAAATTAAAGGTCAGTGTGTCTGTATAATCACACTAGTTCAGTATAGTAGTATGATATGTACCATAACATGTAGCATAGCATGTATTATAACATACCTATGATGATGTATAGTGCAAAGTGTACACAAGACAGCGGGCAAATATAGGTTTTGAAAAGCCCGCGCCCGCTAACTTTCTGATTGGTCAAGGCGCTGACGTCATAACCAATCAATCGAAAAAGATAAAACTGTGCGAGCAATTTTTCTAAACTCATTTCAATCATTTTCAAACCATTTGTTTGTCAATTCTATAAGAAAACGGTACTCTCTGACCAGTCTACATCATCATAGGTATGTTATAAATAGTTTATGTCACTATCGTGGCACATATGACCTCGGTTCTCCGAGATCAATGTCCCTCCCAAGGTCGGGTCATATATCACCGAGACCTCGGGCATATATGCCACGATAGTGACATAACCTCTAATTATAGCATGTATGGCACATATATGTGTACATGCTAGCAGGAACCAAGAGTGTCACATCCAACACGGTATGCTTATAAATCTTATCATCCATCCGACAAGCTGACAAGCACAGGCGTCGTTTTAGTTTGATGATTTTCATTGGGAAATGCAATCAAAAATCATATAAAAAACTTGTTATGATTGAATAATATAGATCAGAGTATCAACATAACTAGCGGATTCCCCTATGATCATGAAACATATTATCCTTATAACCTATAAAGAAATAATGTTAATTGAATAAATACAAACCTGTATATCTAACTATCTATATACTTACACATACAAAGTCAATGATAGTAAAATTTTCAAATTCACCCCCGAATATTCTGTATAATATCCATTTTATTCAAAATCTCCAGCTACATGTTAAAATACTTGAAGTCTTCCGTAACAACATTTCACAAATGTATTATACAGTGCGTCTCAAAAAATTGTTACACTTAAAAAAGGTTCAATATCTTTCATGATTTTGACTTTTCCCCTAAAATATACTTAGATACCAAAATACCAATCTTCCTCGAATAAATTCACACCATCAGATTCAAAATCCGTCCATGATTGGCTGCACCGGACAGATTTTATAGACGCATGTGAAATACAAGATTTCACTGTCAGAGTGTTCACTTTAATTTTGTTGCGTATGATGGCAACAGGATGGTACAAAGGCCTGTGGCAGATCGTTTGGTAGAACTCTTTGGAAATCAGAAGATAGCATTGAATTACCCAATGGATTGGCCTCCAGGGTCATTGATTTTTTGAAGGGCCTTTGAAAGAGCTTCACAGCATCACAAACTGACCTAAATAAACTTCTGCAAAAATAATATTGATGGAATCCGTGTGATATTACAATGCGTGTGTGCATAGGCAAGGCTACCTCAGATTTGCTTTGGAGAACATGTTGAGGGACCACATGTTTGTGTGGATAGACCCAATGATCGTATGTAAGACATATAGGAAAATTACAGAATGACTCAGTTAAAGGTCAAGCTTCTTCTCAGAAGAAAGTTAAATGTTAAAGAAACTGTCCCTCTTTTGTCATTTGGTCCATCCAAGTCTTTGGTCCATCCAAGTCCTTGGTCCATCCAACCACTTAGAAGTTGGCGCAAGTCAGATTTTACCATGGTACACTAAAAACTGTCCTGTGGAGCCAATCAACGACATATTTTGAATCTGATGGTGTCAAATTATTTGAAAAAGATTTCTTTTGGTAACCAAGGTATATTTTAGGAGAAAAGACAAAATTATGGAAGATATTGAATGCATACATACTATATATTCTAGACTATATTTAGTATGAGGCTCTTCTAACAAGGTTGATAAGTTTTACATTTATACAGAGTATGAGCCAAGTGTGTTTATCAGAGTGCTGGAAGAATGTGTAAAGAGTAAATAGCCTCAAACTGTCTAGTTCGGATCAAGTTCTAATCTAGTTCGGACTGGTATATAGAATGATGAAATCAGCATTACCAGTGGCACAACCAGATGACGTCATCGAAAAAGTTATTTGAGAAGGGGATTCCCCGTTTTATGGCTATCAGGGGATGAACACATTTTCAGTGTTTTACAATACATTTTGGTCTTTCTGTGTTTTGCAACACACCTTGGTCTTTCAGTGTTTTACAATGTATGTTTTGTATTTCATTGTTTTACAATATATTTTGATCTTTCAGTGTTTTCCAATACATTTGGTCTTTCTGTGTTTTGCAATATATATTGGTGTTTTCTCTGTTTTGCAACACATATTGGCCCTAATCAATTGTTGGATGCCTGGTATGACTGTACATGAGAATTAGTCTAGTTAGTATTTGTCAGGATTGGGCTGTATAGGGACAACTAGGGAAGAAAGAATAATCCACGGAATTCAAGATGAAAGGTTTTTATTGGAACATTTTAATTGAATTTACATATCAAAATCAGTTCTATCGTATTATGAAGGCAATCAGTTGAAGGCTTGGGTTGTCATTGAATATCAGGATTCGTTTCGAAGCACCATTTTTTTATGTCCAGGTCGGAAAAACACTAGTCATCGCGTCTACACTTATCCTGAAAATAATAAAATGTAACTTTTGTATATAAATCCATACCAACCCTAACTGCAATCCTTTAATATATGAACGGCTCGGAGATACAAAGATAAATCTGTCGCTGGTTCGTTCGAAACTGCACTAAGTAACCTAAATTGTCATTTTTATGAAACTGATAGAACTGTACGTCAACGTATTATTTGTGATAAGGTTATTATTCAATAGGATATATCTTAGAAAATGTGTATGAAATACTAACAAATAAGTCAAATTATTGTAAACGGGCCAGAATCGAATGATTTAGCTGAATAATTTGTTTGCGACATTACGGTCAATTCAAAGTCACCAACAGGCAAGCTAAGAATAGGAAATATCTAAATTTTTCACTGAGTTAGTCCATTTAGTTTTAGAGAAAAAATATTTTAGTACCACTTCCCATATAATATTTCACTGTTGAACCGAGACAAATATGGAATAAGTCTGCGAGTGATGATGAACTATTCTTGAATTTCAGTAATTTAGAGCTCGTTATCTAATGAATTTCTCTGAATTTTTAACTGCTTATTGAAACAATATTTTTCCAATTATGTTCAAAGTTCTCATTTTATATTTCAAATAAAAATGAGTGACTCCCTTTACATTTGGGCGTATTTTTGGAGACACCCTGTAAGATACTAGTCAAAGCCATTCAAAAGAGCGATCCACTTTACTTAAAGTTTAAAATTAGTTCATGGATACTAATATGGAATCAATGTAAAATGATTTAGTGTTTGTACGTAGGGAGCTTTACACTTCATCTCAAGACTTTCATAATAGGTAACAATAATAGGCGACAATTTTGGAGTCTCGCTTTGGATCTTGGAATAACTATCTAACCGGGATATTTATCAACACACTGATGTGAGTTTAAAGATGGCAAGTAAAAAGAGAATGGTGTGACAGTAAAAGTAAAATGGCATGAAAGGCACGGGTGTGATTTACTTACCAGTCCCCCCATTGACGCAAGTATTGCATGACTTCATGCAAGCTTGTTTCGTTCTAGAAAGTCTACAGTTCAGACGGTTAACCCTCTTTTCAAGAAGACAGGAAGGACTTTTGTCATAACAAGCTGCAAGAAAATATAACATGGTAGATGCTAATTGTTAGACATACATGTATGATGTATTACCGATGTTGTACATTTTTTCTGCATGACATTTTGAACCTTTTTGCAACTCAAATGTATTCATTTAAAAGCATCCGTTAAAGAACTATTACTGAGATTTCGTATCAACACTTTCGTCTACTAAATTAATGTTTAAAACTCATATATGTGAGCGTTAATGCAGGGGCATTTCATATAGCCTATAAACACCGCCCTTTCATCAAATGTGTTTTCTGGTTTCCTTAATTTAGCCAATTTCTTAAGAAATTGATGGATAATTTCAAGATTATATGATCAGACACATAAACATGGCATAAACCACATACGTTTCTCATATTTAGTTGTTGTTTTTTGTTGAACCATATTATATTACGTACATAGATAACTGTATTTTATTTACAAGTAGGCTGCATCTTGTATGAGACCAAAACATAGCATCAAGTTTCACTAGAGCTGCTTAGAACACTTCTTATCAGATGTGTTGACAGCTCTCCTGATAAAGAAAGTGACTGGTAATTTCTGGATTTGTGTGAAAAACTGCGTGGTTCAAAAATAATTGGCTGGGGGAGGGATCGCTCGAACACATCAAACCCTGCTTGGTGCGAGCTAGCCCCCGATTATGAACAAGCGCTTGTCATAGACTTATTTTGAAAACAATTATAATTGAACGGATGACAAGAGGGGGATTAATGTTAATGTGAGTTAACGAATAAAAACTTCAAGTCTCGAGGCACAGGTCACGTGACACGAGAGTTTTGGGTGTGTGTTGGGGAGGAGGTGATGACTTTGATCATATCTTTCCCTTACCCTTCTGAAAGGTTTGGAAACGTGATCCCTTAGAAGAGGATTCTTTTTTGAATCTTTCAACGAATTGTCATATACCTGGTAAGTGCAAAGTGCGTGTTTGGGGGACAATTTTCAGACACTTTTGACGTACAACGGGGAGCCAATCAGGGGGGGGGGCGTATATTGCATGTTTCACTTCCAGCTGTTAAGCTGACATCATAGAAAAATTCAATGAAAATTTGTGTTAAAAAGACATAGGTGACCTTGATCCGCAGGAATTTGTTTTTGAAATCGCTGAAAATAAAATAACCAAGGAACAAATTGTGAACATTGGAGTTGTTGAACTACACAAAGTAATAATGCGCCCAGGCCTCGTCTTATGCAATATGCGTATGGGTAAACATGCCCTCACGCTTTTTAATTAAATGAAAGTAGAGTAATATGGCAAAAAAATGTTGAAGCTACTTGTGTGATTTACTTACCAGTCCTGCCATTGCCGCAAATGTTGCATGTCTTCTTGCAAAATCGTTTCGCAAAAGTAGATCTACAGCTCATATGTCTATATTTCTTGGATTTACAGTCACGTCTCTCGTCCTCACAATCTGCAACTAAATATGAGACAGACGTCATGCATTAATGACACATATCTGATAATATGAAAGAAGAGGATAGTGCGATGGCAAGTAAAAGTAAAATGGCATGAAAGGCATGGGTGTGATTTACTTACCAGTCCCACCATCGCCGCAAATGTTGCATGTCTTCTTGCAAAATCGTTTCGCAAAAAGAGATCTACAGCTCATACCTCTATATTTCTTGGATTTACAGTCACGTCTCTCGTCCTCACAATCTGCAACAAAATATGAGACAGACGTCTCGCATAAATGACACATATCTGATAATCTGAAAGACAAGGAGATTGAGATGGCAAGTAAAATTAAAATAGCATGAAAGGCACAGATGTGATTTACTTACCAGTCCCCCCATTGACGCAAGTATTGCATGACTTCATGCAAGCTTGTTTCGTACTAGGAAGTCTACAGTTCAGACGGTTAACCCTCTTGGCAGGAAAACAGGAAGGACTTTTGTCATAACAAGCTGCAACAAAATATAACATGGTAGATGCTAATTGTTAGACATACATGTATGATGTATTACCGATGTTGTACATTTTTACTGCATGACACTTTGAACCTTTTTGAAACTCAAATGTATTCATTTAAAAGCATCCGTTAAAGAAATAACGTTAATAACAATTATAAAATGGCCAAAATCACTTAAAAGTGCTAAAAATTGTGAAAAACTGCGTGGTTCAAAAATAATTGGCTGGGGGAGGGATCGCTCGAACACATCAAACCCCGCTTGGTGCGAGCTTGCCCCCGATTGTGTACAAGCGCATATAGTCAGTTATGCAAACTACGAATCTTTATCTTGAACTGGTATACTTGTTCCCCATCTGACACTGGGTAGAATAGACAAAATACGAGTTTTTATACGCCTATTAAATGGCCGTATAAGGTGTTGTAATCGGTTTTAACTAGGAATAATACTGGCTGTATAACAGGATAAGATTTTGGTATATGGTACAGAAAAAATATATCCTAGTATATTCTAATTTCTCTTGGAAATAATAATATTATACGCGTACATAATTAACCTGGCCTGGCGTATAATACAAATTATTCCTTTTAGTCAAGTGCAATCAAAACCGGAGATACGCTACTATTTTTGAATCTACAATCAACAAATTAAGTAAACAAGAACAAAGTATTTTCTGCGTTCAATTGGCGCGACGATATAATTGCCGCTTTGTTTTTTGTTACCGAGTCATAGTTTATAACTTTAAACCATCCTTTATGATAATAGAAATTAGCTTTTGGAAGAACAAAAATGCTTAGATTGGAGGGTCGATGAGAATATAATAGAATAATGTAATGAAGATGCAACGATTTGTAAAACAAATATGTTCATAAAATATTTTAAACCGCCAATATTTTTAACATACATCTTCACATATATCCTACATTCCGGATATATACAGCGAACAGTAATATTATAAAAAGTTTTTATAACGATAAACATGGCTATGGTTAGTCTAATAATTAAAAAGAATAATGCAAGAGCGTAAAACCATAAAAATCTGGTGAGGGATCAAAAATATAATTAGTATTACTGTACATATTCATTGATATGAGTACGCTCATTAAATTTTCTCGAGTATCAATTTTGTATAAAGACTCCAATTTACATATGAAATGTAGGGGTAATTAAGCCGAGTGACATAACAACACAGCTGGTTCATTGGATAGTCTCTTTATAAGGAACTTAATATGCTGTAAAGTCGCAAAGATTCACCGATTATTTGATTGAAATGGGATACAATAATGGGTATAATAACATACAAACGCCTACTAAAATATTAAACCGATCAGGTTTGGCCAGAGCAAATTGTTCGTATAAACTCATGGATTACATTTATTGCCAAAGTAGGGCTTGTATCGAGGGACGGATATTACACGTGATTTAGATTCATGGTGCCCATGTCAAGCTGCGCGCCTACTTAGGCGTGCAGTTTGTTTTGATCACAAACTGCGTGCCTAACAACATTGCATCATTTAAGTTGGAGTCTGTATTTTGAAACGTAATTTAAAGACATTTATCCTGCATTGTTTTCTTGTTCAATGCGTTCATTCTGTGGCGAATATACGAATCTTGCAAATACTAGCAAAAAGTATGTGCAAATGAATCTAAGTTTTAAAACGCAGATTAATGGCATTTTCGTCACTGATTTAACGGGAATTTATACGTAAATCGATCTAGCACTTTAAACATAAATGACAAATACTTTAGACTCGTTTCATATTTAATTCCTTACGCATTTATCATGTATAATTCAAAATATTTCATGATAAAACAGATAATCAGCAGATTAAAAAGAAATAAAGCACAAACTGCGCGCCTATTTTAGCCAGAAATTACAAACTGTGCGCATAAACTATTAAAACTACATATTATCATTGGAATTTCTACAGAGGCACGTAAAGGTGTTTTTCATATAGCTTTGGAATTTTTGCTTTATCGTCAGATATTATGAGATTTTTCATATTGAAAGACAAAATATTTAATAGGAGTGACAATTAAGTTGGGAACGAAAAACTTTTATTTTCAGATCACCATCTTGGTGGATGGACTCGCATAGTGTTTCAATTATGGGGTTGTACTATTAGACACATATGTGCCTTACATATGGCGCTTACGTTTTCTAATAATACAAAACAAGCTTGGATAGGCAAGCAGCTTGGAAATATTAGGCACGCAGTTTGGGAAATACATGTGAATATAGGCGCGCAGTTTGAAAATGAAAATGTTTAAATCACGTTTATGGCGTATTATCGTTTTGAACACAAACTATGCTGCTTTAATCAGATGGAGTGATCCTATATATTCTAGCATACCCAGACATAATGGCTGAATAAACGGCAAATGAGGATAAAAAGACATAGATATAACTTTACACTGTAAATTTTGAACAGAGAAGTTACTTAAGACCCTTATATTGAGATAGCTAGGTTTACATCGGGATCAAAATTGAGTACTATAAGTAAATTAAGTACATCTTCACAGAATGTTACTATATTTAGAAGGAGAATAACCTTGTATTTTTCGTATTTTGGCTCTTTTTGGGAGTCGTGTCCTCCCCGTCTTCCATTTTGAAATATGCGCGCAGTTTGCCAGAGTTTCAAACTGCGTGCCTAGTAGGCATCGTAAGATTCGTGCCAATTAAATTGCTAACTTCAAACTCGATCTTAATGTCGCCAAACGTCACAAGGTGTCCATTGAAGTGATCATTTGTCTCTGTTTTTATCATATTATTGATTTTGTCATCAGGTTGTTGCAATATGTTTGAGGGATTTTCAATATCTTATATAATTTATTTACTTTCTTTAAGAAATCAATGTAACTTTTAACCAATGTTAAAATACTAGGACACACCCGGCACACCATGGTACCACATATGTTACATGAACTTTTAAATGTTATATGTCTCTGGCTACACATTGACATTATTGTTGTATGTGCCAAATATTTCATATCGTAAATGGCTTGCTGTTTCATCTCGCTTCATCAAACTTATGACTGTGTTTGAGTGTGGGAACAGACGATGTATTACCATCATATAGGATTCATCCTAGCCATCATTTAATAAGAACTGTAATTATGGTGTCATTTAAAACAGCCAGGTCTTATCTGTCAATTCAAAACAGGAAGAAAACCCTTTAATTTTCGCCCAATATGCCTCACTAAGATCACTGGTCAACAACTGGAATTAATTAGTATCATCCAAGTTGCTGGACAAAATGTTCAACATCGATTTAAGCTCATCCAAGTAATGCCTTGGTCACATTTGCCCCGATTTTCTCTACGGCGCCCGGCCGATTGAGTATTTTGTTCAAAATTAAATACAAAAATCGGGCGGGCGCCGGCCGATGGATCGGGGCAAATGTGACCAATACATAAGATCTATTTGTATACTCCAATTATTGTGTCATGCAAACTAATAAAATTCTTTAAACAAGTTATAAGAAATGCAAAAATGTATCTAAATCGAGAGAACGAAGCAAATGGCTACGCTTATAATTGGGATGACCTATGATAGGATATCCCTTGGAAGATGAGCCGTCTACATACGGCAACCTTAGAAAAACTGGATACGCCGTACGGAGACCACGAGGCGACTAATTTAATTGTTCTGCGGTCGACGTTCGGCCGTCGTACGAAAATTGTGACTGCAGCCTAGTTACGACCTGTTGATTTTTACGGTCTAAAGATACACATGATGGACATATTATTTAGCAAAAATAGAACTCCACTTGAGGAATCCTGGCTACAGGCCTGATCCCATGCAATGGCTAAATCAGTCATAATTTTGCAGGATTTGGTTTGGATCAAAACAATTATGATACATATGCTTTTATAATAACTCATTTTAAAAAGTTTTTTTTTATCATTAATGCAATTGATCTGCTCTGGGAGACTAACTATCTCCTCGGACTTCCTAAGAAATATTTTTAAAAATTATAGTTTTTAAAATAAACAGAACGGAGACGCCAAAATTTGGACGCCCAAAAGGGGTCGATGGCAAATATACAAAGCCAGCTTTTAAGGCTTTTAAAGTCGGTTTCTATAGTACATCAGAAGCCGGCTTTTGGAGTCACCGGCGTCTTACGTACTACAGAACCCGGCTTCTGGAGTCTCCAGGAAGCCAGTTTTTAAATGCCGGCTTCTGATGTACGACAGAAACCTGCTTCTGCAGTCACAAAAAAGCAAGTTTTTAAAAGCCGGCTTTTGATATCAACATATCAAATGACAGGGAGTCCGAGATCGACTTAGGAAATATAGAAAATTGTAGTGTCTGAAAAAACAACCCGATCACACATATTATTAAACTTCAACATCTCATCCTTCTTCCGAGTCTCCAGGAAGCCAGTTTTTAAATGCCGGCTTCTGATGTACGACAGAAGCCTGCTTCTGCAGTCACCAAAAAGCAAGAGAGTCCCAAAAAAATCAATATACATCACGATTAATGACGAATATTGGCATCCCAGACAATGCATATCAGTATGCCAGAAGTGAAAATGTTTGAAGTGCAAGTACTGAATCAATAATTCATACAAACGGTTTGAAGCATATCCTCGAACACTGTATAAATGGTATTTTTGATAAGTGAATTGTTTTTTACAGTTCAGACGATAAATGATAGTCGAGTTCCTACCATCATTTCCAAACCATGGTGGTTTGAAAGCCCATAGATTCCAATATTTTCTAGATACATCTCCCCTAAATATATATGTATATTCTACATTTTGTATACTTTTGTCCACTGATTTATATTCAAGGGATAATCGTTATTCAAAGTTACCGAGCAACCAATTGTTGTTTTGTTGTAACTCAGTTGTTTTGGTGGGGTTGTGTATATTTCAGTCAAAATCATGCTGAGCACAACATTTTGGTTTCAATGTTGTAATAGAGTGTTTTCGAATTAAGCCTTTTGGTAAATCTAGGTGTTACATACATGAGTCAAATGTCTTGGTCTAATATAAAATAGGTTCCTATATGATATATACATTATAGATCTATCTTATCTGGACATTGACTTGCCAGATGAACATTATGAAACATACTGTACAAATACAGGAGGAATATCGAAAATGTTATGAAACCGAATGCCTCGCTCAACGAATTGCTCAAATTGGATTGATCAGGGTATTAACATGGAAGTTAATATGCCTGATTGGATACTTTACAAATCAAGCTTATCATCCCACCGAACAAAGTTCGAGGGGGATATAGGAAACCGTCCTTCCGTTCGTTCGTCCGTCCGTCCGTCCATCTGTTTGTCCGGCGATAACGCAAATACCAGTTGACGGATTTAATTCAAATTTTGTAGGCTTATGTCTCATAAGGGTACAATCTTTGCTCGAGAAAGAATTTTCAATACAGCCACTTAATTTTAAAATGGTCGCCAATTATATTCGTAAAAAATGTAATATTTGATAACTGAAATACAAGTTGACGGCCACGGATTTGGTTCAAATTTTATATGCCGATGCCTAGGGACATCGAAGCTCTCTTCAAGAAGAGATTTTCAAATATTATATGCTGGTGCCTAGGGACAAAGGAGTTTTGCTCAAGAAGACATTTTCAAGATGGCTGCTGAATTTCAAAATGACCATCATTTTTCGTAAAAATGTAATCTTTGATAACTCAAATACCAGTGAACAGATTTTGTTCACATTTTATATGCTGTTGCCTTTGGAAACAGGAACCCGCTTGGAGGATTTTTTGAAGATGGCAGCTAAATTTCAAAATGGCCGCCATTTTTTATAAAAGAACGTAATCTTTGATAACTCAAATACGAGTAGACCGATTTCGTTCAAATTTTATATGCTGATGCTTAGGGACAAAGGAGCTTTGCTCAAGAAGACATTTTCAAGATGGCTGCTGAATTTTGAAATAACCGCTAGTTTTCGTAAAACATGTAATCCTTAATAACTCAAATACCAGTGAACAGATTTTGTTCAAATTTTAAATACTGATGCCTTTGGACACAAGAGCTCTGCTCTATAAATAATTTTTAAAAATGGCCGCCAATTATTGTAAGAGAATGAAATCGTTGATAACACGAATACCAGTTGATGGATTTCGTTCAGAATTGATATACACACCCCTCCATAAGTTTGGCAACCTTTTTTCCTCATTGAACTACGTGCTAAAGCCTCTTTACCTTCGAATTTTTATTTACTTAACCTGCGATGAAAATACTTATACTATTGATGGAAACGTAATTTGACTTTAATTCCAATACCTCCAAATTTTCTCAATTTTTTTTCTCAATTACAATAGGTCGAAAATTGATGATAAATTTGATGAATTTTTGAAAATCGACATTCCCATGTTAACCAATGGGAAATGGTAGGTTTGCCGCAAGTCATATGACAGAATATCCATCCATCCGAGTCCTTGCAAAAAATACGAGTTAGGCAGGCAATTGAATTTGCTAACTTTATTTAACAAAAAATTGATATGTTTCTTCAGGTTCAACAAAGTTATAGGGCCTTAAAGTCAAAGTTGTTTTTCAAAAAAGCTCTCCCATTGAAATAACACAGGAGGCGAAAAATCATTTTCAAAAATGACTTTGAAGCGCTGTAACTTTAATATTCATCAAATAAACTAAACACTTAGTGTTTTAAAAAGTTAGTCAATTCAATTTTCTATATTAAAATATTTTTGCTGAATCTTTTACTGAAAAATCCTAACTGCTTATCGCAGGGGGTAAAAAGAAAGAATATATTCTGGATTTTGAATCCCTGTGATCGGAGGATGTTCACAGTTCAAATTCAACTTCTGTAGTAATATGACATCACCTTCCAATATGTCTCATTGACCTTTTATTGTTTTTCAAAACATTTCTCTCAATATCAAATCAGGAAATTAGGATGGTATGCAGGGCAGGGTAGGGCCGAGATTATTTTGAAATAATACCAAGTCAATGATTTATCTACTTTCTTACTAATTCACTGATTTGTATTTGCTGTACATCTTTAAATATTAATGCTAAAGACACAAACAAGTTGAATTGGAAATTGTTGATTATTCAAATATTCAGTTTTTGCAATACTACCTTTGACAATGCATGAGTTCATAAGTTCAGTTTTTTACCTTCATTTTTGTTTTAAAATATAATAGATTACTAATCTTGAAAACGTTTGACCTTAATAAGTAAAATAGGAGTTTGCGCGTCAGGGAAAGTAACCACGAATCAAAAAAGTAACATTACAGTGTATTTAAAACTGAGATATTGATCCTTAACCCTTATCTTGTTAGACTTAAAAGAATTACACCCCTTCCCCTATGATCTGGGAAATGAACATACTAGGTTATGCATGTTCGGAGTTTTTCTGCGACCCTCAATAGGGTCACATGTTATTTTTCAAATTTGAACCACTCCTGCCCAACAATGTCTACATCTATATTGAAAAGAATGTAGAGAAGAATGTTTTGATAAAATGTATAAAAACAAGAAAATTCAGTGAAAAAATTCAGAAAATTTTCAGATTTTTTTTCACTGAATTTTCACGTTTTTTATACATTTTATTAAACAAATTTTCTCACCGGTCTTTTCTAGGCACATACGTGCACTCTTTGAGCAAAACTGGAAGATGTAGACAATGTGGGAAAGGAGAGATTCATGTTTGAAAAATAACACGTGACCCAATTGAGGAATGCAGCAAATTCCGAACATGCACCCTTGCCTTAATATGTATACATAACTAGAAAATTGAGCATTCTTCTTTTCAAATTTGCAAAAAATCTCATGATGCAGATCTACCCTAATCGAGAAGTGTTACAATTGGCTCGAATTCCAAACTTTTACTGAACCAGCAGTACACATGAGAAACCATATTGTCGAATGATGTAAATCAATTAAAGTTCATTGAAATAAAATACATACCTCCAGCGACGGATCCTATAACGAACAGGGCAAAGACGGCGAGTTTCCATGTAGAGCCTTCCATCTTAGCGTAAATACCAAAACGCATTTGTCAAAATCTTAGCCAGCTCGCCAACATATAGGTTTGTTGCGCAATTAGTGTGTACTGAGGCATCAGTAAATACATGTACCTTTGTGCGCTGCTCATCTGGACAGTTAAGGCTCAGCTGGAAAGTAACATTTTGGTAAAATTGCTATACCTACACATGTTATTTTCTGGTACAAAATTAAAATTGAAGGCATGTGTGTTTTTCCTTGTTTTTTCAGGAAAGTATTATTTTATTTTATCATATATATATATTATATAAATTATATAAGATATTGCAAATCCCTCAAACATATTGCAACAACCTGATGACAAAATCAATAATATGATGAAAAACACAGGCAAATGATCACTTCAATGGACACCTCGTGACATTTTGCGGCATAAAGATCGAGTTTGAAGTTAGCAATTTAATTGGCACGAATCTAAATCACGTGTAATATCCGTCCCTCGATACAAGCCCTACTTTGGCAATAAATGTAATCCATGAGTTTTTAAGAACAATTTGCTCTGGCCAAACCTGATCGGTTAAATATTTTAGTTCACATCTTGTCACGTAGTAAGCGTTTGTATGTATACCCATTATTGTAAGTCGGTATTGTAAGTCACAGATAGGTGTCTCTAGTTATGTTTATATTTGATGATGTCTCTTATTAATGTAGCTTCTCAATAAAGTTGAATAACCTTAATAATTGCTCCTGTTTTATATATCACGTATTCACTAACAGACAGGGAAATGCTTAAAAAAACTCCCCCGATTCATTTCACAAACAACCTCCCCTCCTTTTTAGAAATTTTGACCGGGGGTTCCACTGCCGGATCTGGTGGGGAAAAAATTGGGCCCAAAAAATGTTGGGCCAAAAAAGGCCTTAAGGTCCAAAAAGTGGGCATTTTTGGTCATTAAATTTTGAAGAAAATGGGCCTCAAAATTTCAAAATTTGGACCCAATTTTGTGTTTAAAGGGACCAATTCTAGGGCGAACGTTTTTTCTCTGACCTGAAATTTGGGCCCTCCCCCTTGTTGGTTCCCAGATCAGCCCTTGGGTTCCCACGAACCCCGCTACGCTACGTGCATGGGGATGATTTATTTTGTCCGAGGTGAAGCAGCTTTTAAGTTAAAAACGAATTGCGTGAAGTAATCGATAGTTCTAAGTAAAAAAACATGCCCCAGGGTCTTCCTAAAATTAGGCAGTGTAAGCTCCAAATTGGGCTTGTTAAAAACTCCGTATGTTTGACTTTTTATTTGTATAACTTGCAATGAAGATACTTATGATAAAATTGTAGATATAATTTGACTTTATTCCCTATACCTCCAATTTTTCTATGACTGATGAATACTTGAAAGTCGTTATGCCCATGTAAACCAATGCAGAAATGGTTGGTTCAGGGAAAGTCATGAAACATTAAAGTTCTAGCTTCTAAGTCATGTTTAAAAATCATTTTTCGTCTCCTGTGTTATTTCAATTGGAGAGACTTTGGAGGCCTATAACTTTCTTGAACACAAAGATAATTTTTTTGTAAACACTTGCATAGTTCAAATTCAAAATATTAACCCAAGTGTCTACTCAAGAAGTATTTTGTGAGAAAAAATGGTGGTATTGGAAATTATGCCAATTTATATTTCCAGCCTTAAAATACGAGTCATAGTTGGCTAGTTTTTGCTATACAGAATTTGTATAGCAAAAACTAGCCAACTATGAGATTATGCAAATAAGAATTCAAACATATAGAGGCTTTAACACGAAATCCAATGGGGAAATAAGGGTTGCCAAACTTGCCAAACTAGAAATTTGGACCCTCCTTGTTAGTTTCTGGATCAGCCTATGAACACTGTAGAAGCTAGAATGAATGGAGGGGGATTCATGAAAAACATGAAAAATAGAACCCCTGGTCACCAAATTCTGGCTACGCCGGTGTTAATAAATGGGTTGTTTTTGGTTAATATCGTAATAACATTGGATAAGGACACCATCAACCAAACGTTTGGCCTATTTTCTAAAAAGAACATCTTGTTTCTCTCAATCTAAATATATCAATGTTTGTTCTACATTGTCAACAACTTCTGAAAAGGGGAAGGGTATTTAAAATGCGATAAAGTTAAAAAACACAAATTCCTTGTTAGTTTCCCATTGGGAAAACCCATAGACATTGTTGTCATAATTTTGAAAATGGAAATTTGATTGCTTCAGAACTAGATTATCAATACCATACTACTTTTGAAAGTTTCAGAGACCTTCTCAATAATCTTTTTGTGCAAAAAAAATCAGAAAGGAAATATCCTCTTTTCAGTAAATGGATTCAACATTTTTATTAATATCTTTTCAGAAACTGCTGGGGATTTTAGTCCGTATTTCTGGAACAATTTCACAAGTGAGTTTTGCATCCCATGCGAATATCTTCTCGATATCAATAGTACATTAACATCATTTCTAAGGGCAATATTGAACATATATTTCACTCTATTGAGGTGAATACCTGTACATCTTTCACAAGTGATATTCCACGAAGCCCGAAGGGCAAGTGGAATATCACGTGTGAAAGTGCTACTGTAGGTATTCACCGAGAATAGAGTGAAATATTTGTTTTATTATATCACTGTCTCGCTAAACATCCCTAATATTATTAAGTCATTTTGACTTACACTGAACTAAATTATTTACACTGAACGAAAACAAATTCTTTGAAAATTCCCGGGAGCGTGGGATATCGCTAGATATCTCACGGTTGTCTTATCTGATTAGCATTGCCATTGAATATCGCCAGATATCCCACGACATGTGACCCAGTTTTGACCAATCATACTATCGCTAGCCAGATAGTGATATAATAATTCACTTTATCCCACGATTAATGTGTTATCTGTTCAATTACAGCAATTGATATTTCTGATATTATTGAAATCCGTGTGATATTTTCCAGAAAATCGTTTATCAAACTCATATGCGTGTGATATCGTTTATCTCACGCATATCTGTGTGATATCACATTTGCATTTCGCGCCACAATATTGTTGGAAATAAGGTCAGATAATTTATTCTCCTTTGAGAAAATAGGTCCGTTAATTTATTCTGTTTAAGTTTCATTGGTGTATTGAATCACGGTTGTGCATATAATTTGATTAGAAGGCTGCTAAATAACTATTAAAAATGGTATTTACGACGAACTATATCATGTACAGAAAGTAGTGCATATTACTGCGCAGTGAGTAAAGTACAAATCAAAATGGCAAAACAATGTTTACATGTTCATTTTATTGTTTATTTTACATGTTTATTTTAATTGTTAAAATAAAGTGTTTCAAATATTCAATTGATATTCTAATTTCTAGTTTATATTATCTGCCATATACTGGAAATTGGATCAGAACATCACAAGGTGATTGTAATCATGGGATAATCCCAATATCACATAATTTCTCGTGCTATAATTTTATCGCCTCGTAGATATCAAATATCTACACTCATTCGCTTCGCTCACTCGTGTTGATATTTGATATCAACTCGCCGATAAAAATGATATCACTCAAAATGATGTGATATATAGAGGATATCCTATGATTTATGAGTGATATGATTTTTATCCACGAATGGATATGATATCTGCACGAGCGAGCGTAGCGAGAGAGTGCAGATATCAATATTCATGAGTGGATTAAAATCATATCACGAGTAAATCATAGGATGTTCTTTTTATTCCATAGTTTAAGTCATCATCAGAATTGTCGGAAACTAAGTCATTTAATTCGAATTTTCAAAACGATCCGGCGATGTTGACACTTAGCCTCGTTTTGAGTCTGAAGTAGCAAAAATCCATTAACCATCGCATACGACGTCGTATGTCATGGCTAAAAAACCGTATGCTATGGTTAAGTGAAAATTTGTCAAAAATATCATATTTTACCACTGATTAGAAAAATATCGTTTTTATTTTCACATGTTATCCAATGAATATCATGCTAACTATGGAATAATCTGTAATTATCCTATGACAAGTGAGGTTTCAGGTACATAACAGTGGGATATAAAATTGATATCTTGGAGGAGCGGGACATATATATATCTCCCGCTGTATATCTCCCGATCCTGATTAATTTTTTTTTATTTTTTTTGAAATTTTTTTGAAATTTTTTTTGAAAATATTTTTCAAAATTTTTTTTCAAAATTAATTTTTTCAAATTGTATAAAAAAACATTTTTTCAAATTTTTTTCAATTTTTTTTTCAAAATTATGTTTCACACCCACTTTTCGGAGCTATTTTCAGTGTTTGGCCTATAACTTAGTCATTATTGCTCAGATTAAGCTGAAATTTGCACCAAATGAAAGTTAATAGATAGAGCAATCGGAAAGTTTTTAATATATGCAAATATGGTGATTTGCATATCAATTATGACGTCATAACTGTTTGTTCTTGCATAATTTATTTTAATCATAATGTATAGATCTGGTAAATTATTGTCTTTAAAATGGTCTGGTCCGTATAATGTTTTTAACTATTCTTGTTTGTTTCTTTTAGTTGAGTTTATTAGTTTATTCCATTCACACATGTATGATCATAATAGTTGAATAAATATTATGGAAGTGTCCAATTCACACTGTTGCTTTGGTGACAGCATGCAACAAAACCACCTGCTGTAAACAAGAATTCTTTAGGAAATGTTACATTTTGACCAGTTGACTGACATGTATTCTTTTTAAAATTTGATGACAGAAAATAATCTAATAACCATAGTTATTAAATTTGGATTGTGTTATATTATGATGTCATAATGGCAATTTTTAATTAGGGGCGCAGCCAGCTTTCAGTCAGAAGGGGGCCTGCGATCGTGGCACAGGCAACCAAAAAGTATTTATAAGATAGGTTTTGAATTTTACAAAAATTGATCCAACTTCCTTCAAAATTTAGCAAAAAGCTTCAAGTCGAAAGCCTTCTTTTATGTAATGGTTCTATTTTTATCGGATATGAGGGGGTAGGTGAACCCAG